AAATTGAATATAATAGTTCTTTTTAATAATAGTTATTTATTTATTATATTATATTAATATTAGGATTTAACACAATTTGAAATTGAATAATAGTTCTTTTTAATAATAGTTATTTATTTATCATATTATATTAATATTAGGATTTCACATAATTTTGTTGATAAATGTTAGTTGAAGGTCGACATATTTTATAAGCTAGTAGAATGTTTCAGTGAAAAAAATGCAGTCCAATAAAAAAAAAACCAATACGATTTCCTCGAACTCCCCCAAAAAGAAAATGACCGAGAAATTACCATACGAATAGAATATTTTTTTTTTGTCCATCTTAAGAAATAAGATATTTAATATAATAAGATATTTAAAATAATATAATTAGATGTAAGATAACGTATAATAAATGTATATATTATATTAATCTTGTAATATATTTTATTTTTAATTGACAGATTCGGTTGAGAAAAGATTTCAAAGTCTTTTGAATGATGGATGTAAGGCCCCGGTGCACACAAATTCGTCTGACTTTGATTTACCTTCTTTTTACGATCCAAACAAATTTCGTCTTGGTCAACAGGCATTCTACAATAACGTTTTCGCAATGATGATTGGCAAATTAGCAGGATTAATATCTTTATTAACAGTTCCCTCCATACTTGATGTAATCAAATTTACTAAACAAAGTAGTACACCTTGTATGGTTTATCGAAGATACGTTTCAACTATATTACATACGTTTATTTGGTACAAAAAGGAACCCTATAAACAAATAGAGTAAGTTGAATGTATTATTAATTTTATTTGAGATTTCATTACTGTTATATATATATGTATAATCAGGTTTTTATTGCACAACTTACAAAGTTTTTTACAATGTCTTATTATTACTATACTTATATTTATCTTACATTCATGTTATAATTCTGTATAATAATTAGAATGAATTAAATTGATCAAGAAATAATATATGTATAATCAGGTTTTCATTGCACAACTTACAAAGTTTGTTACAATGTTTTATTATTACTACACTTATATTTATCTTATATTACTGTTATAATTCTGTATAATAATTAGAATGAATTAAATTGATCAAGAAATAATATATGTATTTTGTGCAGGTTTCTAAAATCTTTGAAGATAGTCAGAAAGAAACATTGCATTGCATTTCGAAGGTCATTTGAAGCTGGAATAAACAAAGTTTCGCAAAGTGACATGACCTATGCTCAATTTGGGTTTATTGGTTATATAATTTTATGTTCTGAACATCTTGGTATATATACAACTGATGAAGAAATGGACGGTTTGGTACACTTTTGGCGTGTAATTGGTTGTGTACTTGGAATGGAAGATAAGTTCGTATAAATAAATTATTATTATCTTTTTCAACAATATATAATCAATCCATACAAAGATAAAATAGAAATAATATGTTACAATGAATGAATAACATTTCTAATGTGAATATAAATTTATATCTTTTTTTCTTTTTTCTTTTTTCAGATACAATTTGTGCATGGAAACGGTCGAAGAAACGCGAGCCCTTTGTTCTAAAATATTAAACGAAGTATTTTTAACCTCTATAATTAATTATAAGAAAAATTTCGACGAAATGGGACATATATTATTAAAAGGACTTTGGCCCGTTCTTCCAGCTTTGGATCCGTCATCGTTTAATGCTTTAACGTTATATTTAGCATCATTAGGAGATATTAATAACAATCATAATATTAAAATAGGTAAAATCTTATATATTTTAAAATATTCTATTATCCTTTATTACTATATTATATTTTTTGAATATATTTTATTTGAAGATATTAAATTAAGAAAAAGAAACAATAATAATAATGATACTGTAATTTAATAATTTATGCTTCATCATAGTAATGCAATATTTTTTCTTTACTTTTTTTTCTTTGTTTTTGTTTGTAATTGAAGAAATTAATTATCTTTCTTGTTTGTTTTTTTATTTCAGATTACGACTCCATGTCATTCTACAGCAAATCATTATTTAATATTGAAATTTTCGTACTTCGTTATCTATTATCAACCAAATATTGGTGGTCAGTTATTTTTCGTACTCTTTTTAACTATCTAATGATATTTACTATATATTTCACCGAACACTTCCCGATCCTTGGTTATTGTAGTTTTGGTATAAAACAAGCGAACATTGACATATTCCGATATAACGTATCCAAATGAAATCTGTCAAAAATATTGGAATATATATATTCGTATGATATTGATCTCGAAGATTTAATTCTAAGGTAAACATTTATTTTCAACAAATTTTCATCGTTGTAAACACAAGTTTATACAAGAGAAATGTGAAACTAAATTGCCCGGATAAAATGTACATATATATATATATATATAACATGCACATTATTAATAATATATATTTTTTTAAACTAAAAAAAGGAAAAATCAAAGCTTAGAAATAAATTATTTTTATAATCAAAATATATATATATATATATAATATTATAAAACATAATAATTTACAAATATTATTAAATTATACGCGCGATATTTTTACGATTTTAAAATATATATTTATAGATTTCTATACAGATAATTATAACTATAACCAATTTTCCCACGTATCCTGAGAATCCAATCCAAAAGGAACTACCAACGAAAGTAATAATATTAATAATCATAATAATAATAAAATAGAGGAAAAAAAAGGAAAGAATATGCGTTGCAAAAATACGTTTGAAAAAATCCAATATATTTCTTTCACAATTTTTTATGGTATATTAATTTAGAGTAAGTATTCGCAGAACGATGATTCTTAAATGGCCTTGAAAAAATTCGCATTTACCTACGTCATTCTCCTATCTGTTAGTTTTCTTTTAACAGCTTTTATCAAAATCGAATTCACCGTCATATAATTCTGCTGTGAAAATTTATATAAACGTGAGATTCTTTTTTAAAAGAAAAAAAAAAAGGTTAAAAAAGAAGAAGAAGAAGATAAACTGTCGTCTATACGGAGATCGATCGAAGAAAAATAAACTCTTTGCAAAAGATCGATAAAAATATCCCCCGAAGAAGAGTTTAATGTGTTATTTCTTTTTTTTTTTTATTTTTGTTTTATACTTTCGAGGTAATTTTTTGTCAATGAACAATTTTTTCTCAATTATTTTCATTTACATTAATTTTATTTTATTTTATTTTATTTCATTTCACACATTTCACTTCCGACAAAATTATTTTCTAAATCAAACGTTGGGCATTTATTTTTTACAATTTTATTTTTAATATCTGTCGTTAAAAAAAAAAAAACATGCATATGTTTTTATATGTGTGTGTGTGTGTATATGCATACAAATGTAATGCATCTATATGCAAAGAATGCATGCAACTCTGACGCGGGCATTTATGAGATTAATTACGGTCACGAGTTGACTAAATATATTTGCCAATTTAATAATTATTACTGTCTGTATTTTTAGTAAACAAATACTTATTGCACGAAATTGTTTCTTTTTGTTTTTTGTTTTTTTTTTCAATTTAAAATATTCCTAGCATTGTTTATTATATTTTAACGTATTTTCCTATTATAATTAAATATAATATATTATCTAAGTATTTATATTATTTATTATATATTAT